AATAATTTGAGTTAGGAAAAAGATATTAAGATGCGGTTTGCGCAGGCTTATTGGTTGGTCATTTGTCTATTTTCTAGTCTAAAAAAAGTCATATCATCGCATTTAAATTTTTTGAGAAAATCCAATATTTTGGTTATAATATCGAATAACGCCCTCTATCGGCGGCCGTGTAGGTCGCAACTGTCATGATTACGAGAAACCTAAAAGCCCAAGAAATGCTCTTTTCAATGATACCAAATTTATCCAAATCCATTAAGCCGTTTCGAAGTTACAGGCATTTATTTCAAACAACATTCAAATACCCCCCACCACTTTATTTCGAAAGATAGAGAAAAATTGTTTTTACAAAAAATGTTCGACTTTAAGTTAACATTAAAACGCAAATACTTTTTTGTTACATTCATTGGGGAAAATCGTGAGAAACGTAACTTTATGTAATTCAATATGGTGGAAACGCCCACTGGCGGCCATCTTGGAAACTTGAAAATAATTTCCAGCATTTTCCCTTGCCCACTTTACCTATAAAATTTTTTACCGTAGCTCTCTACGATCACTAGTTTCTGAGATACAGCCGCTTACCTCGCTTATTTGCCCACCCTGTACAACACCAATTCATTTGAGTATAAGGTTAGATAAACCGAAATTGTAAAAACCTTTGTAGTATATCACTTTATCTTAATTTATATTTCATTCCTGGCTAGATACCATCTTCTTACAGACATCTACATTTTGATTTCCCCCGTTTAAGTTCATCGTTGCTCTCACATAGACCTAAAATAAGTGATAACTGATATCAGCTACTCTTTCACATAATTATGACCAATCTGAGCCGGAAATACGAGGGAAAAAGGTTAAAGAGTAAATACACAATTTATGGGAAAAGAAAATAATACCTACGGTAAAATGGAAAGTAATCAAAATAAACACAGACTCTCTGTGTTTATTTTGTTAAAAGTTGATAGTCCGCTCCAAATCATTCCTGAAATTTTGATAGTTGTCTGCTGATTATTGTCAACAGCGCAGCGCGGCGAGGCAAGTAACAAAAGAAAATATATTATTCATATAAAAGGCGTTATTTACTTAAAAAAACATCTCTTTTCAGTGTGGCAGAATTGTCCAATTAAAAAAAACAGCATCTATTTATATAATCTTCTTACTTTGTTTTAGCCAAAACGAAACCGCCCGATGCATCCGCTACCGCTTGTTACCGATCCCGTTAATTTAATAATCATATAAACGATGCTTTGCTTAACGTCGTTCGCTTAATTGGGGGTGTCCCAATGGAGATGACTCGAAACGACTGCATTATACGAAAAACTTAGTTTGGCAATGTTAACAAGGAGACATGCATACATAGTAATTGCATTTTAAGTATACTGTCGTAATAGCGTGTTATTGTTGCCCCGNATTTCCCCCGTTCAAGTTCATCGTTACTCTCACGTAGACCTCAAATAAGTGATAACTGATATCAGCCAGTCTTTCACATAATTATGACCAATCTGAAAAGGAAATCTAAGGGAAAAAGGTTAAAGACTAAATACACAAGTTATGGGAAAAGAAAATAATACCTACGGTAAAACGGAAAGTAAGAGAGTCTGTGTTTATTTTGTTAAAAGTTGATAGTCCGTTTCAAATTATTCCTGAAATTTTGATAGTTGTCTGCTGATTATTCTCAACAGCGCAGCGCGGCGAGGCAAGTAACAAAAGAAAATATATTATTCATATAAAAGGCGTTATTTACTTAAAAAAAATCTCTTTTCAGTGTGGCAGAATTGTCCAATTAAAAAAAACAGCATCTATTTATATAATCTTATTACTTTGTTTTAGCCAAAACGAAACCGCCCGATGCATCCGCTACCGCTTGTTACCGATCCCGTTAATTTAATAATCATATAAACGATGCTTTGCTTAACGTCGTTCGCTTAATTGGGGGTGTCCCAATGGAGATGACTCGAAACGACTGCATTATACGAAAAACTTAGTTTGGCAATGTTAACAAGGAGACATGCATACATAGTAATTGCATTTTAAGTATACTGTCGTAATAGCGTGCTATTGTTACCCCGAAAAAGGCGCGGAAAATAAGAAAACAACTACCTATTCCGCTGTTACATTGTCTCAAATGTGAAGTCGGGCTTAATAGTGTTACAACTACTCATTCCTGTTAAGCATAGCGAATGGCGTCTAAAGGCGTTTTAAAATTAAACAATTTAGTGTTGCTGATTTTACAGAAACAAGTAAATGATCAGAAAAATTTATGTAACTTCTATTCTGGCTATAAGCACACAACGTAAGATCTACACAACTAACTGTAAATGGCTTTTGCGAACGAATTATGGCTTCTAGCGATGGTGGGCAAATTGCTTTTGAAATGGGTGCTGTTTTCTGATGAAGGGCATGTCAATAGGTACAACTGCCGTTATTGGACGTGAATGCCATACTCAAAGGCCTCAAAAAACAAACATCTGAGGTGGAATTATTGGGACACGCATAGTAGGTCCTGGATTTTTCAATGAAAATGTAACCGGACAAACATACCTACCTAACTATTCTCCAATAATATGAACTGGTTCCTGTTTTAGCGGTTTTATTCTCCAATAATTAGGATCACGATTTATTTGACCAACGGATACGATTTGAACAAGATGGGGCACCACCACACTTTGCTGAAAATGTACGAACCTATCTTAACGAAGTGTTTCCAAATAGATGGATTCGAAGAAGGGGTCCAATTGGGTGGCCAGCAAAATCACCCGATGGTACCCCATTAGATTTTTTTTATGAGGATATCTAAAAAACAAGGTTTATGCTACTAAATCGGGAATGAAATTAAGCAAGTGACGCCGGAAGTGTTACAAAATGTTCGGAATGCTTTTTATTATCGATTAGGGTATTGTCAGCAACAAGGTGGAGGATACTTTGGAAATTTTATTGCATTAAAGTAGTTTCAGTAAACATTTCTTAATTATGTATATTTTTTCCGACACACTCTTTATAACAAGTAATAACAAAAATACGTAATTGTATTTGCATTAAAAAAAAAAGTTGGGAGTTGCTGCAAGATTTTTGGTATCAATGACAGGACTTTTTAAATTTTTTTTTTAATTTATTGTTATTATATTTGTATATTCTTTCTTGTTCTACTTGTGAATAATCGACTATTTCCGTTAAAAAAAAACCTTATATCCCTTATATGTCCCAGTAGGACGACAGAACGTCGCACTCCGTCACGCCACTGCTCGCCCGCTCTCGCAGGGTCAACATTGTGTATTCAACTCTCAGCCTCCATTATACCGATTCAGTTCGCAAAAGGCAGTCGGTCCTTAATCTCGTTTCCCTTTTTATTATCCATATAAAACCTTTATATGAAAGCAATAGTGCTCTTTGAAAGCCGGAGCCAATCGCTGGTGTACCTGGCCCAGCGACCGACTAAATAGTTATCGTTATTATTATTATTTCTACTACTACTGTTAGGACTTACCATGATTAAAGTCGCCCCCTAGAACTGATATCCTGTTCGACTCTATGTTGCGGACGTGCCGGCCTGCAACAGAAAGAAATCATGACTGAACCGATCGTAATCGTTATCGTAAATGTGAAAAACGGGTCATATCCCGCGCAAAATTTTTATTAGGATCGATGGAATATTCACAGAAACGTGATGATGGCGGGGGAGATTCGGGGTTTCTTAAACTTGTTGTCGGGCAGGCCTACGCATGATAAATTAAAATACGCAGTTAGAAGAACCGAGCAGTATTATTTAAAATTTGGTATAAATATTTTCTTACATTTCCTTGTTAAAGAATTTTTTTTAAATAAGCCCCACATTTTTATAAATTTCAAAATTGTGTTAAAAATTTTCACAAGAATTTTTACGAGCCTTACGCTCCCGCCCTAGATCATAACTGTAATAGCCCATACCGTAAAGTTTCTGAGTCTGCGACGAAGATCCTCAGGGATACAAGACCTTCAAGCTTCCATACCAGGTACGAATTTACTTTCCACCCCATCACTGAGAGGCGGCGTTGCCGCATAATCTAAATAAAATTGTGTCGCCCGGCCCCTATCGAGAACGCTTAATTTGTCTCAATTTAAAAGCAAGTTTACGACATCCTCCTATAAAGGGAATTGTTGTCAATTTTGCGAATATGTTTAAAGCCCGTAATGCGCCCCATTAAATTCTTATAGATCGTAAAAGGGAACGGCCGCTTATGGGTAGTAAATATGTTCAAAAATCATAAAAGTCCCATCGGCGTATAATCTTTAATTTAAGTAAAACACTTGGCTTCAGATTTGGTTCGGATCGGTTTATTAAAAGTCGGCGTCAGCGGGTTCGGGAGTTTAGAGATAATTTTCAAGTCAATTAACCGAAGAAGTAGTTCATTCCTGATTTTACGGCTTCGCAGCTTCGGCTCGGCACTTACGCGTCTCTGGAAGGGACATCAGCATTTTTACGGCAATAGATTTACGTAAGTTAAATTAATTAAGAAATCGGCTAGATCGAATAGCGGCGTGCATAGTTTTTTCTATTGATTTGAGTATTTTGCTACCTTTGCCTTTTCCAAAAATCCAAAAAAATAATTAGATTAATATTTCATTCAAGGGTTGTTTGTATTTTAGTCTAACTGACCTTATTGGCGCAAACAATGATTTAAACCAATTTTTAATTTTAGAGCTGGGAAAATACTTGAACAGAAGTAATTGTTTGATTTTAGGTTGCGATGTATCACGTTTGCATTCAATAATACAAAGTTTTCGAGAATTTAAGAATGTAAAACTGTGCATCAAATATTTTTTTCGAAAACTGCTTTGATATAGGTATTGTTAAATTCGTGAAAAAGTAATCTGTAGGTGTAGGTAGTATCCTTTCAGTTAATTAAGCGTCTTTTTGACATTTAGGGACTAGAATTAAGATGTCAACGTTTTTTTGATAGTTTGTGAAGAAAAATATACTTTATAACTACATTTAAATAATATGAAACCATACACTTTGATGTTTAAACACGATTTTAAACCTAATAAAGTAGAAATTATAGCAGCTACATTTTTGATTTATAAATTCTGATACATTATGACTTCGGAAGGAAGCCGGAAGAAGTGCGGTTGTATATAGTAAGTACTGGAGATGATAAACTTCTACTGAGAAGGGGAGCCTTACAATACTTTTGAATATTAAGAAATTCATCGAAATTTAATATCACATAAAGGTTATTGCTGTATTGCAGGAAACAATATCTCCCGCCTGTCTGCCTGCAAAGAACTTGCCTTTAAGTAGTGGATAAAGGGGAAACTTTTTAACAAAAATTAATATAATTTCAGCCAAACACCAAGTAATGTTATTAATGAATAGGAAGAGATCGATTATGTCGTATATCGGCAAATACCTATAATTTGAAAGCCGCCAAAGGCTACAGATATTTATGGAGATATTAATTTTTTTATCCGTCCTTTCACGTGTACATTTTGAAAATCTTTTTGAAAATCAATATGGAAGATACTGAATGGAGCATGGAACGCGGTACACATGATTAACACAATTTGAAAAGATTATTGCAAATGATGGTTTATATGTAATTTTGACGTTATGTATATCCGCACCTTAAGTTCAGTCTTTAAGTATATTCCATTACAATCAAATAAAATGCCAATTGTTCTATAGCGAAGAAAAATAGACTTAAAAATAATTTTTAATGAACCTTAAAAAACTACATATTTGGAAATTAAGCTTCCTTAAATCCTACTTTGCAGGACTAAATTTGAAAAAAAAATGAGTCTAATAATACGTTATTCTGCATCATTGAAACTCCCACTACCAATTTTTATCAAGATACATTCATTTCTAGATTTATATGTAAAAAGTGTTAAGAAATTCTGTAAACATTTTCATTTCTTTTAAGGTTCACCCTGTATATCCTTATTGCTACGTTTGAAGAATCTTGACGAGTTCATTCAGTTTTGTAGTTTTCTGTATTTCAAGTTAATCAACTAAAGAAATCCAGGCAAACAAGGTCATTTTCGGGCTTCTCGTACCCGATTTATTGTTAGGTTCGTAAAAAATTCTTTGGGAGAAAAAGAATTTCAGGTGGATTCGTCTTGTTTATCTGCCGGTCCAAAACTCCGGCCATCATTAAAATTGATAACAATCTAATCTCTGCACTTTCCATGGCGAGGAAAGGGCCCGGTAATTATTTGTGCAGTTAATTCTGGGACTGGGAGTCCCCGTGGCGATCAGTTAGTTATTCGGCGACGGACTCGCGCCAACGGCCTTCCAGAGGCACATTTGGCTCGGATTCAAATTACTGAAGAGGCGATAACGGAACGGGCCGTCGCCTTCTGCGAAAAGGACGCGTTGTTTCGTTAAGTAGGAGGTGGTAGATTATCTACAGTGCAAAAAAATGAAGATATAATCAAGCTAAATTTCTAAAGTTTGTAAATTTTTCATTTAATTTACCGAAAAAATACTTTGCCTTTACTATTGTAAAACTATTACAATAGTTTTTACGTCACTACGCCGCTTACTAATTTATTAAAATTATTATCTTTACACTTTATATTTAATATTTATAACAGCCTGAAACACGAAATAGACAGAGAAATGTTCCTATAACCGTTAAAAGGATTTCCTTGGGTTCTATTTATACATTTATGTTTTATTTATAAAATAAATTTTTTGTTGTGCCTTTCTGTTCAATAATGTTCTGCATGTTCGTATTATATAACGTGTTCGACTGTAAAAAAAATAGTACGATCCTGAGCAAAATAATAATTGATTATATTTTCTGAAAAAGCATGCTGATGGGAACAAAAAATGCCTCTCACATTTTGTCAATATCGGTCTCTGTTTTACGGCAAATTGGATTTCTCTTTTTCCATACAAATTAGCCAGATACTGTGCGAGATTTCCATGTTTATCAGATTTATCGAACATTTTTTACCTAAAAGAAAAATTAACAACAAATTAAATAAATGATTATATGTATGATCGTGTATGAGCAAGCACGTGCTGGCGCGAAACTGTTGGTCGAAACGGGTTAGAAGGCCCATACATCCCATTGTCTAATAGTTTTAATTTCGTTGGTAAAAAAAATAACCTCATGCTAGTATTCTCGGGAACACGTCAGGAAATTTTACGAATTTAGTAAAAAAAAAACATGCAAGCATTTTTTTTTCGTTAATTTAAGATATAACAAATTCCAGTAATTTTTAACCGAAAAATTACCAATTGTTTTTTGCTATGTACTAGATACATCGACGACTTCCTATTCAAAATTTTAATAATGTATTCTTTAAATAAAAGGATCTGCTCATATTTTGTATAATTAAATTTCACATCCGAATAATGTATTTACGCAGTCGGGAGCTGCTCCGCTTGAAAGGGGCCAGCGGTTTATGGGTAAGAATTTTGCGGGATGCAAGTGGTGTGGCGATACTACCGCGATAAGAAGTTGTATGTGGTGCAACTGTTCACGAAATCGAGGCAAAGAGGCCGGAATTGAGAAGGACGGGAATGGAAAAAGCCGAATTGCCGCAATTTCTTTCTTTCTGTAGAAGCGTTTTCCGCCGAAAACTGTACTGAAATAAATAATACGGCCTTGGTTGGGGGGGCCTAGCAACGTAGCAACTTCTCCACAGTACGATCGCTTACCTACAGATTTACATTCTTATAGTAAATTATTTTTTTTACATGCTTATATCGGATGCGTAGGTACGTATTTCTAGAATAAACACACATTATTTGTTTATCTTATGTTTTTCTTAATATACACCGAAGAAAATTATATAATTTTTAAGCAAAATATCCACATTTTATAAATGTTTCATTTAATTTTCTGAAAAAATATACTTTCTTGGAAATATATGATAGAAAAGTATAATTATATGGTTGCTGCAGTAAATTTACGGAAATAAAGTACATATTTTTTTAAACTCTATTCATCAACATAGTATTATTACGAAATAATGAATAGAACCTGAAGTAATTATAAATCGGAAATAGTTATATCATTTTTCTTGTTTGTGCATTAAGATCAGGGACGAACAGTGAACTTGCATATGCATGCATCGTTAATATGACAACCTGGTTATAAACAATATGCCGAGAATTTGTCTTGTATTGTATTTGTATGTACTTATTTTTTTAACAATTTAAATTAGTACGATATAAAAAATCAATGGTTTCGAGTTGGTTTTTCCAACGTTTCGATTTAAGTTTCTATTTTCAAATCAGTTTAACGAAGCTCTATCACATTTTTTTTATCAAAGCTCTACTCGCCGCTGACATTTTACCCAATTTCAATTCATTCATACCAACGACTATTCCATAATTTATTTTGGAAGCATTAAAGAGGAACATCACTTTAAGAAAAAGAAAACTTTATTTAAAGTATCGAGCAAATTACTTAAACTATTTTTTTTTATTAGACTACTTTAGTTAATTTCGTATTACAAACATTGGAATATTTTATAATTTGATTTTACTCCGTAAGGAAGAGTGAACTAAATATTTTGGTTTAAATATGTATCTATATGTTCTTTTATATGCTA